ACACTTACCAGAGCTCCTAGAAGTGCTTGCGCGTGTGATATCTCTGGAAACATTCTCCTTTGTGAAGAGGCATTACGCAGAAGTTGCACATGTAGGCAGTTCTACTCTTCTTCTTGTGCTCTGCGCACACACGGCACTGCCTAGAAGGGTGTTTCTTCTTGCAATATTCACTCTTCACAATTTTCACGAGAATATGTTTCCGCATATCACCCAAGAGTCGGCCAGGGGGGTCTACTTGAGGCCTCTGGCGGGTGCGAACAGATGGCCCCGGCTGCACTACGTCTGTGTCTGATGCAGGTACTGCCGCCACCGTGACGTCAGTAGCCCAAGCTTTTGCCAGTTTCAACAGAAATGCTTTGTATTTCAAAGTAGAATTTCTGTTCACCTTTTTGAAAACCATAAATGAATTGAAAATTGCACAGTTTATAAGCCACAGTGCAACTTTCTTCGTCCATTTTACTGTTTTCCTAGGAAGGGAATAATAGGCCAAGAACTGGTCGGCATTATCAACTCCTTTCATGAACATATTATACTCGGAAATACAAAGAGGCTTCTTTACTTGCCCATGTCGTCTTTGAACATCAACCACGCTCGAATTGTGAATAGTGGAAACCATATTCACAACGCGAGTATCCCTCCAGGACTGAAGAAGAAAGTCCCCCTTCCGTCAAAGAAACTATCTCCAAAAAACAGTGACGCAACTTCAGACACGTCCGTTGGGTCCGATGGCATCTGCTTCACCCCCGAATCACCAGTAAACTTTCCCAAAGTGGGGGTTTTGTCCACTTTATCCCATGTAATTGTCCCGACACTCACACTTTCAACGGAGCTCTCACTTTCACTTGACACATTTTGGGCAGCCCTGTGGCCCCCGTCACTGTCACTGTCACTGTCACTGATAATGGCCTCACTATCAGAAGATGAAGCAGTTGGCAAATCTGATAGCTCATCGGAGAACATATCTAATATTTCCTGTCCTCCGAGAGATCGCAACTGCTTTCATCTCTGAGCCATGTTAGCTGCACGGTTCATACGTGCAAGCTTGGATTAGAACAAAGCCAATTTTGTTTAGGTTGTGACAGGAAATGACTCTGGTCAAGTTACTAGATAAGGCAGCAATCATTCCCGAGGTCATCTACGCAGTAGTTACAATTCAACGAAGCCACACAGCAATATATAGCGTTTTGCAACATAATGTGACCGTAGAGGGCCATATGGCCCGCCCGGTCCGCAACGCTTGGAAATGTAGAGGGCCATATGGCCTGTCCGGTCCGCAATGTGTTAAGCGAAACAATTTTTCCCATATAAATTAATGTGAAATATGATAATGCGTTCCATGCTGAAAAAAATACTCAACAAATTTTATGTATAACGTTTATTCAAAGAAAATTAAATATACTGTGACATGTTGCGCTATGGAGGACACCCCCCTTCCTCCCCAGTGGTGACTTGGCATCAGAGCGCTGTCATTACTACGACAACAGGCAAGTCAACACTCCTTCCCCTACCCCGCCAGTGGTGATGTAACACTTTAGGAGCGTTGCCGTTGCTACGGTAATAGGCAAGTCAACAGCCCTTTCCTTGCGGTGACGTAACACTGGATGCCGCGGTTGCTATGAAGCCATAAACAACTCCCGGCAGCGAAGCCCAGCAACGCCGGTAACATGCAACTAGGCAACAAGGAAGCAAGGGGTTTCCCCGTTGTCCGGCTGAGGGTTTATAAGAGAACTACACTGCCTACAAAGTCAGTTGAAGTGTAGCAACCTATGAAGTGAGTTAAAATGTAGCAGCCGCCAAAGACAGTTGGAATCTAGCAGTTGTAGCAGAAAGAAGAATACCGGAACGTGTGATCAGAAGTGATAGCATGAGAAGCAGATGCTTGGCTCACCAGAGAAGTAATCGGGGGTGTGTAAAACAGTGACACTGGAATAGCTCCCGTATCCTACTGTGAATACGTGTAGACTACTGAAGGTAGAGTGAAGAGATTTGTGTGTAGGGTTTGTAAAGTGTGTAAACCCGTGACAGTGTTATAATCAATTGTAGCCAAGACTTGTAGGTTGTTAACCGTTCAGCGTGGTTTGACGTGTATGTTTCGTCAGGTATTTAAATCGTCTGGGGGGGTTCGACGTCTATGTTTTGTCCAGCTGCACACCTATGTTATAACGCCCATAATAATTGATGGTTTTGCTGTAGATTGTTAGATTTTTCGCTGGCCTGTTGTCACAAGTACTATATATAATGAGGCATTTGTTTAGGTGCGCTAAGTCATCGTTACATATGCCTGTCTTGCAGCAAAGTTCCTGTTGCTCTTGGGAGAGGTTTAGTCGTTCAATCTGTTATGAATGGCGTGTTTTCTTTCCTATGAAGTTATAAACAGCAGAGACGTGATATGTGCTGTGTTTATAATATCATATTGCNGAATTCTTAGAAGAGGGATGTCCAAAAATTTATTCTTGCAAGATCGATTGATTTCGCACAGTACATAGCACCCAGTTCTTAGAAAAACGCCAGGAATTAAGGCAGAACACTATGGTCACCCCCTATGACGATACTGGTGTGTGCGGGGTGGGAAAACAACTCATTCCTTCATGTATTATCGCTCCAGTTGACGCCATTTTATCGTACTGACCTTGGTGGTCGTTTCGAGGGATGACCATAAATATTTTTTTTGAGCCAGCTAAGCTCTGCTTTCGTGCACTACATACCAGCCAGTTCTTAGAATAACTTCATGATTTCTGTGGTCACCCCTACGACATCTAATGCAGCCAAAATGGATGGAATATCAAAGGCATAGCAACAACCCCTTGTTATGATAACTCGTAACGTTGAATTTACTGCAGCTGACCTGACTAGCTAAACTGCTCACGGAAAGACATTTCCTTGAACTATACCCCTCACGGGGAAGAAGGCAAAACCGCACAGAAGCTGTGTGGTTAAAAAAAAGAGCAAAAGAAAAGATACACAATATTGGAACGGTGAATGTGGGGCACCGTTGGGTTAGACGAATGCTTCAAGGCCTTCCTTACACTGCTCAAATTCTGAACCACCTGCTTCCTTTGCCGAGATACCGGGCACTCATATTATAAGGTAAGGTTATAAAAACCATCTTTTAAGATCATTTTAGTGAAAGTTTCATGCTTCAAGGCATATTATTCGCTGCTCAAATACTAAACAACCTGCTTCCATTGCCGAGATACAGGGCGCTCATATTATAAGGTAAGGTTATAAAACCACCTTTTAAGATCATTTTAGTGAAAGTTTCATGTTCCTATCTCATATAATTTAAGAACAATGATGAATAAATCATTTTCGAGCAAAATTTAAATGGCCGACTGAATATATTACCGCCGGAGAGACACGGCAGCGGAATTTAAATAACCGCGCGAAAGGGTTAAATAAACCAATTAACAATCCGAACGGCGTCTTCAGTGGCAAAAACACGTTACAAAGGAGCGTGAATCATCTTCATCTTTTCTTCTATGTGGAATGAACCAACCTGGAATGCAAATTCGATTTGCAGAAAACAAAAAAAGAAAAATCGAAACAATCAGTTTATTATTTATGATACATATCTAATTCTTTTTTACTAGAAAGCTGTCTAGAGACATTTGTTTTTGCCGACGCTTCAAAATTTGGTGAAAATGCGACACGGCATTATCATTAAATAAAGTTGTAGCACGCCGATGAAGTTCTCTGCTGCCTTTGTGTTGGAGCTTGCTGCTTCACCGTGCCTTACAATGCTGTGGATGCCGGTTCGTCTCTTAAACTTCTCAAACCACCCACGGCTTCCCTTAAATGCTTCTTCTTTGGCCATTGATGATCTTGGCGTCTTCTTAACGAGGTCGGCGAAAATCACTTTCGCCTTCTCACAAAGGATATGCTCGTTAATAGTGTCGCCTTGCAATTGCTTTTTGTTAATCCATATGAGGAGCAACCTTTCAACATCATCGAGGATACATAACCGTTGCGTAGATATTCTTGTCACTCCCTTTGAAGCATCTATCTCCTTAATCTTGTCCTTGTTCTTGAGGATAGTGCAAATTGTTGGTGTAGACCAAGTGTATGTACATGCTAGATCAGCCATGCTCACACCTCATTCTCGCTTTTCAATGATTTTACGTTTCATTTCTATGGTTATTTTTATTCTCTTATGGCTGTCTTTTTGTGGCTTTTTCTTCAGGGACATTTTTGCAAGGGTTATTAAACTCTGCACAAAAAAAAATCACAAATGATATGTCTGAACACAAGTTTGGAAAAATGTGTGATCACAAGCGACACTAAGATGCTAGCAGAACAAGTGCTAAACACAGACTGATGTAGCAAGCGCACAATCCGGGACTTCCCCTCTCATCACTCGTTATGCGAAACGTCGCTTGTTAAGCGAGTCATTTTTTTTACAATTTGTTTTGCTCGTTATGCGAATTACTCGTTATGAGAGGTGCTCATTAAGTGAGGTTCCACTGTATAAGTAAAATCAGGACTGAATTTCATCAAGTGCAATAATGTTTTAATTTTATTACTAAAAACACCATTGCACTTGAAGGAATTTAATCCTAATTTTACTGATAAATTAAAGCTGATTTCACCTCGAATTGCAGGCTAGTCTACCACAGCATAATGCAGACCTATCCCATGTCTAATACCTCTATGTCATTTGTCTTTCATTTTTCAGAAATTTTAATTAGAAACAGAAAATGGCTGGTAATGTTAATTATGAAATATTACAGGAACACTGAAAATCACTTTCCTAGATGCTTCAAAATACGAGTATATTCAGATTCTATATTGAGTGAAACACAAAATATGTTCATGTGAAGTAATAAGATAGTTCATAAGGTTCAGTTTTAAACCTCTCATTTCAAATTTTGTCCTCCACTGAAAATTTTACACTGTTATTCTACAAGAACACAGTTGCAGCTTATCTTCAACATACTTCAAAGCAATCAATATTTAAAAATACCAACAACACAGAGTACCAAATAATGAAAGTTACTATTCACCTCTACCCAGTCAGCTGCCTTAAGAGCTGTAATCTCTGCAAACAGCCTGTTCACATGCTCAACTTGGAGCATAACCATATCCCAGAATCCTGCCAGATCTTCACTGGTTGTTGGGAATGGCTCTTCTGAATTCTGTGCCTATTGGAAACAACAAAATATATGTAAAACTGAAGTAAACCATCATTATTCCAAAATGGGGTAACCTAAATAACTCAATAATTCACAGCAGCTCTCTTTGTTTGCCTTTTAGAGACAAAATATTTCTGTACATTATTAATCCTTCATTGCATACTGTCAAATACACATATAATAATGTTAAGAGCAGTGTCATCTGTAAGGGTGGATGGGAACCATAACATTACAGTTTGATGTACACTGTCTTTCCTCAGTCTTTTATACTATTTTCCATAACTATAGTAAAATCCCCAGCATTTGGCACATACTGAGAATGGGGTGTGCTGGTTAAATGAATCTGCAAGTTGCATGAGAAAAGACTCCTACAGAACCCAACTTTCACCCCTTCCCAGTCTTTTAATATTTCCACTTTCTGTTTCGAAGCCAAAACATCAGGTTTTTGCTTTAGTTCCTACATGAGAGTCTTCTCAGGTGACATGAACAGAATGACTGCTGAAAGCATTTGCATATACTGTAATGCAATCACAAATTCAACTAGTCCCAGCAACTTTATCCTCAGGGAAAGAGTCCCCAGTATCCACTGTATAGCAGGCTGGGTGGGCCCCAGAGGTGGTCTAGACACAGAGGAGAACAGGAAATTCTTTTGCCTCCACAGGGAATTGAACACAGGCCATCCAGCCCATAGCTCACCGCTATACCAACAGGTATTTCAGCTCATTATGTTTAGTAAAATTCCAGACAACCATCAAGCGCTATTTATGAAGGCTCTTTACTTTGCAAATAAACACAGAACCAGGCAAATTCTCAGAAAACAGTGTTAAACGGAAGAACAGCTAGTTTGCAGCCACATGATCACAGAAAAATATATCTACACACCAGAACTGAACCCATCACCATCGCTAATGTATGATGTTTATTTCCTGAATTAAGATTTTTTCTTGTGTATTTTCACTATAACTGGCTAGCTCGGGAAAAGGTGTTTCCCAAGAGTTGCTAGAAATGTAACTCACAATGTTCTTGTGGCACAGCCCTTCAAACTGCTGCAGTTTCTGTCGTATTAGCAATCTCGCTTGCCCTGAGGCAGAACGTAGCTTTCCTAAAGCTTCCTCAGGCAGCAATTCTCCATTTGCCAAGTCTGTTTCTGCAACTTCCACAAGTCCATTCAGTCTATCTATCTCTTGCTTCAGCAACTAGAAACCAAAAAATAATGGGCACTTTCAAGATTACTGGAAGTAAAAGTATCAGTGATATTATTATACAATCAAATGCATAACCAACCAAATTACTGATTTTACTATTTGCTGTAAGATTTAACTCCTTCCTGAACATATTTTCCTTATGTCTCTACCACAACCAGATGTATTTCTGAGACATCTGCATTCAAGGATTTCCAGAATGAAAAAAATCGTGTTTGAAAAAATAACTGTAATTTTCACTTTAAAATTTACACTTTCTTAAAATTTTTAGAGAAATATTAAGACAGGAGTACTACACAAACTGTATTAAATTAATTACACATGAAACTGGTATAATTTCATAGACTTTTCATATATATTTCACAAATTTGCAATATAACATACACAGAACTAGAAAAAGGTATAATGAATGAGGCTGAATCTTGAGGAATTATTCTATTTCAAGGAAATAGCAGCTCCGATTTAGAAAACCGAAATTAACGGCCGTGGAGATTTGTTGCGCTGACCACACAACACCCTCTATCTGCTAAAGTTGCCACTAACTTTGCTGACAAGTGGCAGCTGCTAGGTTGGTATAGTTCACTTGCAGACTAAAACCACGGAGTTTGTTTTTCTTTGTTATTCCCATATATGAATGTATAAGGGGTGGGCCTTCTCAGCCCTTGCACCGCAACCTACAGTGGTCTATTGTGCTTAATTCCCATATATAGTACCACATACATTAATTGCGATATATACCAGCATATACAAAAATAAAGCGGCCTCCGTAGTCTAGGGGTAACGTTCCCACCTCGTGACTCAAGGTACGCGCATTCAAACCCGGCAGAGGTCGTGGAATTTTTAAGGGCGGAAAAATTCAGGGAACAAGTCCTCCAGGAGGGACTTTAAGCCGTGGGTCCCGTGTTGTAGCTTCACGGCATGTAAAAGAACCTCATGTCTCAAGGGGACCTCTGAGCCAAATTCTGGGCATTTCCCGCCCAACAGTAGTCTCTAACGCCTCTGGTAGATGGGGGAAGAATCGAGATACCGCTGAGCAAGTTGAGGCCGAACTCGCTGGCTGAGTCGGGACTGATGAAACGCACCAGTACCGGTAGGGTATAGAGACTGGTAGAATATCACAGGGGGACGCACAATTGACCAATACTGGCCTAAGTGCATGGGGAAATCCACCCTCTCCAATAACAACAACAACAACAATATACAAAAATATCAATTTATTCTCTTATCACATAATATATGAATTTAAACCAAGATGTGTTGTAAAAAACACAGCAAGTGTTCATTCTGTGCAATAATAAAAAATATAAAACCTAGTATAACAAAGATTACTGCCATCTGGGATGTAACACTGCAGTCAGGTATAAATTAATAACATTTTGGAAGAACCCCCCCTCCATCTTTAGAACAGAAGAATAAGCAGTGTGGCATAAAAACACTGAATCTTGTTCATTATGACCTTTGTCACCAGCCCATTTATTCAGTAGCATGTTTCAGAATTGCCCTTATCACAAATTGGTAATTAGTCTTTCAGCATTTTGTATATATCTACATTAGATAGAGCGGCCATGGAGGAGCATGTATTTACGCAAAAAGAGGTTTAGAAACAAAAGAAGTTAATTATTTCCAAGATATGAATAAGGTAAAAACTTTGAAATGGCGGTGATAGAATTGTTGGCTTATAAAATTATTGTAATTTGTATATATAGATTACCTGATGGAAATTTTAAAGAATTTTTAAGGAAAATTGAACTAGCAATTAAAAAATGAAGTATGAAAGGAAAACAGTTAATCTTATGTGGGGACTGGAATATGATTTTTTTTTGCAGGAGAGTGTAAAATTAGTTGAACTAAAAAATCTTTTGCATGTTTATAATTTGGTAAATACAGTAGAGGTTCTGACTAGAGCTACAAAGAATACTAAATCATTGATTGATATAATCATTATAAATAATAGTAATTATACAAAACCATCAGTAGTAATGGATCTAGGTTTTTCAGATCATTATGCTCAAGTATTATCTATATGTATTGAGAATTTTGTAAGGAGACCATTAAAAATTAGGAGGAGAATGTTTAATGAAGGAGGCATGGAAGAACTGCAATATATTTTAAACAAAGAATCATGGCAAGATGTGTTTTTAGAATCCGATGTAAATGGGAAATTTAGGGTTTTTACGGATACTTTCCATTATTACTTTGATATGGTTTTCCCCTTAAAATTATTTAACCAGAGTAAACAACAAAAGAAAGGTTGGGTTACTCAGGGAATAAGAAAGTCCAGTAAAAGGATGAGTTGGTTGAATAGTTTGCAAAAGAGAATAAATCTTACAGGAAAAGAACGGGAGTATATACATAAATATCGAATGATATATGAGAGAGTAATAAAGGAAGCTAAGAAGAGGGAGAATGATAGGCATATCATGCAAAAAATAAAACTAGAGCAATGTGGCAAATAGTGAATAAGGAATTAGGAAATAACCTGCAAAGGGAACTGGGAATAGAACTAAAGTGCGGGACAAGGAAAGAGGCTAATCCATAGCATATAGCTGAAAAGTTTAATTTATATTTCATGGACATAGTAGGAAAGCTTGTCAAGCAAAATAATAGTAAGATTTTGTGCTGTAAAACACCACAGAGAATAAATACCTGTAATGAAACCGTGTTTATTTGTCCAGTGACAGAAAAAGAGATTTAGAAGTGGTGAAGAAATTTAGGGGGAAATTTTCAGCAGGTACCAATGAAATACCGGATTATGTGGTTAAAAATGTATAGAAGCAGTTAAAATGCCATTAGCCCATATTTATAATGCCTCTCTAGAAGCAGGTATTTTCCCAGAGAGATTTAAGATAGCAAAGGTAAAACCATTTCATAAAAAGGGAGACAAGAAGGATATGAAAAATTATAGACCAATATCCCTTTTGTGTGCTTTCTCGAAAATCTTCGAAAAGTTGATGCATAATAGGTTACTCTCCTTTTTGACAAGAAATACCATATTAACAGAGGCCCAACATGAATTTAGGATGAATAGGTCAACTGAGATTGCAATATACTCTTTTCTAGAAAACATACAGGAATCAGCCGAGAAAAAAGAAAAACAGGTCAGAATTTTTTGTGATTTAACTAAAGCATATGATGCCATAAATCATGACACCTTACTTTCTAAACTACAAACATATGGAGTTAGAGGTGTGGCAAACTTATGGTTTAAATCATATTTGGCTTACTGGAAGCAAGTTGTTGAAATAAGTTGTGATGGCAAAAAATATACATTGGCTCCAAGAGAAATTAAATATGGAGTACCACAGGGTTCAGTGCTTGGACCATTATTATTATTATTATACATAAATGATCTGCCTTTGAATATTGTGATGTGTTGCGCAATGGAGGGCACCCTTCCCTCCCCAGCAGTACGTGGCGGCATCGTAGCACTGTCGTTACTATAGTAATAGGCAAGTCAACACCCCGCCCCTCTCCCCGCGTTGACGTAACACACAACGCCACAATTGCTACGTACCCGTAAACAACTCCCAACAGCGTTGCTATGTAACAGGCAGACACTGCGACTATATAAAGGAACTACACAGCCGCCGAAGGCAGTTAAAGTGTATCAGCGGCCAAAGACAGTTCTCCTGTCAGCAGCGAACAAGTTAAAGTGTACCAGCCGCCAAAGACAGTTCTCAAGTCAACAGTGAACGATTTCTCAAGGCAGCAGCCTATGAAGCAAGTTGGAATATAGCAGCCGTTGCAGAAAGAAGAACCAGACGTGTGTGTAATTGTGTAATTGGGAGAGTGTGATACAGTGAACTTGTATAGCTCCCGTAACGAAATTAATACGTGTAGACTACTGAGGACAGAGTGAATTGATTATTGCGAATAGGGTTATAAAGTGTGAAACCCCGCAACAGCGTTGTAATTAATTGTAGCCGATACTGGTAGGTTGTTAAATAAACCAGTTAACAATCTGAACGGTGTCTTCAGTAACGAAACACATTACAATATCAAAGAGGCGTTTTGCAGATGATATAAATATTTTGGTAACAGCTGAAAAGGGACTTATCCTGCAGCAAAAGATAAATAAAGTCATGAATGAGCTATATGGATGGTTCAATGCAAATAATCTTATATTGAATACTGAGAAAACAATAGCAATGGCATTTCATAAGAGACAAGAAAGAGATCTGATGAAACCTCAAATCAAATTTGGCAAAATGGAAATCTCCTATAAATGTGAAATGAAATTTCTAGGTACACATGTTGGTGAGCATATGGAGTGGAAAGCACATATGATGTTCTTAAGCTCAAAACTTCATAAAGTCTGTTACATGATAAAATCCCTTAGGGATGTAACAAGCTGACAGATTATAAGGAGTTTTTACTTTGCTCACTTCCATACTTATTTGAAGTATGGTTTAATTTTCTGGGGTAGCAACCCAAAAGTAAAATTATATTTAAATTGCAGAAATGAACTGTTAGAATAATTAGTGGTGTGATTAGATTAGCATCATATAGACAACTTTTTAAGGATTTAAAGTTACTTCCACTACCTTGCATGTATATATTTGGAATAGTATGCCATGTTAAACTACATTTAGAAAAGTGAGAACAAAATAACGTAGTTCATAATCACAATACATGCCAGAAGTTAAATCTCCAAGCTCAGTTTTGCAGAACAAATGCCTATAACAAAGGAGTACTGAACATGGGAATAAAATTGTACAATAAAATACCAAATAAAATCAGGGAGATAGAAAAAATGAGACAGTTTAAAAAAGTAATGAGGTCATATTTGGTACAACATACGTTTTATTCTGTAGAGGAATATATGTTAAATTAAAGATAGTATGTTTGTGAGAGGGGGATATTTATTTTTAATTATAGAAATTGAACTACTGTATGTTTAATTTTTATGCAACATAAAATCAATACAAAGTCCGTCGAGTGTAACAATGTTTTTTAGGTCACTTCTTTCTCACTCTTGCCTTACATGTTTCGGTTTTAGTAAAACCATCTTCAGAGGCACATGGTACTAACAAGAAAACACTGGCGTTGTTTAACTGTACACAGTATATATGCTGTGTGGGCACTGCTACAAATGTCGATGTGTAAAAGCACAACACTAGCTTGGAGTACTGAATGCACGTACAGAATGCACGTTCAACCTTCGCATTCCATCCGAAGTTGCCCTCGCGTTAAAACATCACTATTAAAATATTT